TACCTATAAGTAGGATAGTCATTAAAATGGTGCTAAACAGGCATTTGTTGTATCCGCCCGATAAGTACAACAAATAGGAAACTAAATCTCAGAAGTTTACATTTTATTAATTTAAAAATTAGAGTGAAGAGACTTATTAAGAAACTCAAGGTAAGAATATTATTTGTATTTAAATGATGGTTTTTCTTATAGTTAAATCGTTTAGCTAATTTTGAGTACTTAAGATACTACAAAAAAAAATGATCATATTTCACTTATTACTGAATTATTGGAAAAAACTTGAATAAAACATGGATAATTTTCTTACCAAAAAGTTTCATAATGGGTCAATTCATTCTAATTTTTTAGYCAATAAAGCTAATGTGCATCTACTGAGCATAAATTTACTTTGATGGAGACAACAAATGTCAGTGTATCTTGGTAAAATTTGAAAATTAATAATAGCATATATATATATAGATTAATAAAAATTAATAGTCATACTAATAGTAATAAATTGTATAACATACATCATTTCTTTCATCTAAATTACAAATTTCCATAGTAGGTAACTAAAAAATTTTAACAATTAAAATATAAAATTATTAAAAACTCATAACATTACTTCAAAAACATTATAAATATTGTAAATTAATTAAAAATTAAATAAATAAAGATTAACCATAAATCATAATAAAGTAAAAAAAAAAATTGGAAACGTAGTAGTTTTATGTTTTGTTGACTAGTTTATATTTTAGTTTTGTTATTTAGTACGTTGTAGTGTTGTACCCATCATATAAAATAGTGACTACTATGTACTATCTATTGGTTATCACTTATCATTCATATTAGCATATTCTTATCAAGGTTGGATGGGTWCAGTCCATAGAGTAATATTACTTTATGGTCAGTCATAGGACGATAGAACCACATAGAACAGTTAGGCCTTCGTGATAAGAGTTGGACCCTTTGATAAGAAATTATAGCTGATAATCTTCATAGATATTAAAGAATGGATAGGCCATTTGAGCTTATCATACGGGCACAGATTATATGAAAACAGATAGTGCACTTCCTATAACGCAATGCAAAAAATGAATACGGTGTTCTAATTGGTTTCCGCCCAAATCAGTGTTACCACAAATGCCAATGCTAATTTATTTGATATACATTCATACAATATTTTTGAAATTTGGATAACTTACTCACGTTTTATACGTAGGTATT